CGATTTATAACTTTTATTGGGCCTAAGCCAAAAGGATTTAACTCTTTTCGACACTGCTAAACAATACTTGGACAAATGAAAATGAACTAGCGGTGTTGCTAATTTTGTACTTTCACTTTTATATTTTGTTACCATCAATGCCCCTTGGCCAGCGTCATTCCCCAAAAAAGGTCGTTATAGAACCCCATATACATGGCTATCATCTACTAATTTGTACCTGTTAAGGAATTTGAAAATTCCGAGGAACTTTTTTCGGGGTGTCGAACAGGGATCTCCTGTTTATACTCATCGAGCAACCGTGATTTCTGATTTGTAATAAAGGAAAAGAATGAATGAATGAAATTGGGTTTGACGTCCGATACTTTTCTACACCAACTGGGCTAATGAAGAAGTGAGTACGTCATACAGTGCGTTATGGGGGAAATTTTGCCTTGACAGCATGAGGATTCTTTTACATGAAGGCCAATGTGTACACATGACCTTGGTATTTCGTTCTATTGTTACTTGCCATACCCTTCGTCTTGAACCTCTGACAATTCGAATCCACGCTGGACAATTCCAGAGAACTTTCTCGGCCAACACCGGGATAGCACCTTGTACCTCCTGGATGGTTAGTGATCAATCGCCTTACTAACGGGACCACCGAGACTACCAATAAACAAAAAGTGTGTGGACACGAAGCATTCAGTTAATTACCGTTGTGAAAATCCAACAGGGTTGGCTTTTACAGTTAGACAGATCTTGACATAGTGAAAATTTATTAGTTGTACAACAAACAAAAAAAAAAAATCCCTCCAATGATGTTTAGACTTTAGACCTTTTATTATGACTTCTTCTCATGCTCCTGTGGTGATCTTGATTTATAACGCATACTCAAATATAATATTTTACATTCGAAAAGCAGTTGTCCATTTCACCACGGAGCTTATCGTAGCTATGATTTTGGACCGTGTGCTAAGAATCAAAATTGCCAGGCAAAACCATAATATAAGAGATACTGCCGAGTGTTGCAAGACGAAATAAAAACGAATTGTTTCCTTTAAAAGTTGAATCTTACATGTTTTTATAATTATATAAAGTAAATGTTATGCTGAGTGAATCTGGTTAAAATACAGATCTATATTTCGTTTCATTTTTTTATACTTTCGATGGCCTACACGTCACGTCAGAGGTCATGCGAACGGCAAGTGAGCCTATGACGTAAGACATTTGATTAACCAATCAGCATTAGTGTTACTAGTGGATTACCCACAGTTCCGTGTAAAACACGCCTAAAGTTCGCCGTAACAGACCGTTTCATTGGCTAATACCTCACACTATTCAGAAACACTATACCTCACACTATTCAGAACACGTCAATTATAACAACTCTTCCAGCTCCTAGTGTGGTACAGACAAGTAAAACGAAATTTTGAACTACAAAAACGAAACGAATAGGATCTGTGTTTTAATCAGATTGATGCTGAGTGAAGCTCACCTGAAGACATCTGAATGTATTTTTATAATTAATATGTAAAATAATCGCTGAGTGGCCAATAGATGGAGCAGTCAAAAATATGTTTCGAAATGGATGGATGGTCGACAAAATTAAAGAAGACGGACAGCGTGCACGATGCATATTGTATTTACTATATCCGGAATACTTGATATCATTTAGGCCACACTAATTTGATTTTCTGTTCTTCGGGAACATCTGTTAAAATTTCGCTTCGCGCGAGAAAAAACGCCAGCAAAAAAATCGCTCATCGATAACATAGAAACGGTCGCATTACATTTCGCCGGCGAAAAAGTCGGTCTAATGCAAACGTATCCAGGGAAAGTGCGCACTGACACGCCGCGCAATGCCAACATGGAAAACGGGGTTGCCAGACCCTCCGTCTTGAAAGTCTGACAATGGGAATCCACGCTGAACAATTCCAGGGATAGCACTTTGTACCTCCTGGTTGTTAGTTATCAAGCGCCTTACTCACAGAACTTTGAGTTTTGCAAATGCAACAGGGTTGGCTTTTACAGCTCGACGGATCTTGACATAGTGAAAATAATTTATTAGTTTCGTTTCGATTTTCCCGAAATTCGAGCTCAGCCTTCAGTATGTCGGAATGGTAATATATTTAAACGGTTTTAAAAATCGGGTAAAAATTGTGACCTCTGGAAAGTCCACAAGCTAAAAAAACAGGATTTCTTGTACAATCAGGGGCCATAATCCAGGAAGTTTACAGTCTGATATGCGCGAATATCGACAGGAACCAAGATCTTTGGGTTATAAACAAACATTTCAAGTTTCATCAAAATCGGATAAAAATTGTGACTTCTGGAGGGTTCACCCACAACTTTACACTATTTATGTATAAGGAGCGGCCATTTTCACGAAATTCGAACTCAACTGATATTATGGTGTAACGGTGATATGTTCGAACGTTTTTTTTTTAAATTGGATAAAAATTGTGACCGCAGTGGGATCACAAGATAAAAACGCGATTTTTCGTACAATCAGCGGCCATATTCAGTAAGTTACGATCCGATATTCGTCAATATCGAAAGGGACCAAGATCTTCGGGTTATAAACATGCATTTCAAGTTTCACCAAAATCGGACCTCTAGAAGGTCCACAAATTTGAACTCGGCCTACACTATGGTGTTGCAGTGAGATATTTAAACGGTTTTTGGAATTGGATTTTAAAAATGTAATCTATTGAGGACCACAAGCTAAAAACGCGTTTTTTCGTATAATCAGGGGCCATAATTCAGGATGTTACAATCCGATAAGCGCGAATATGAAAAGGAACCAAGATCTTTGGGTAATAAACATACTTATTAGCATTCCTCCAAATCAGAGAGAGAGAGAGGGAGAGAGAGAGAGAGAGAAATGGGGTTGAACGTCCACTCGACACAAACTAGGTCATTTCGGGACTAACATATGGTTTAATTTTAGTTCAATAATTCGCTTGCGCACAGAGGTCTTTAGCAGTGGGAGGAAACCGGAGGACCTGGAGAAAACCCACGAGGTTGGACAGGCGACCCTACTCCTTGTCACGTACAACCGGGGATTCGAAACCACGCCAGTCGACTCAATGACAGACTTTATGATACAGCACGCGCACCTCCAAATCAGATGAAAATTGTGACCTCTAGAGTGTCCACAATCTAAAAGCGTGAAGTTATGGTTCGATACATGCCAATACCGAAAGGAACCGAGATCATTGGGAGATATACCTATATTTCAAGTTTCGTCAAAATCAGATAAAAATTGTGACCTGTGTCCACAAATAAATTGTTGACGGGCGGACGGACATCCGGACGGACAGGGGCGACGGCATAATACGTCCACATGAAAATGTGGGAGTGTAAAAACTGTTTTGTGGTCAATGTGTCTTTTATAAATTAACCCGCCTAATGTCGGGTAAGTTATGTAAACTTACCCTTTTGACATTCATCGCCATAGAGTAGTTTTAACTCATTGATAGATGACCTCATTGACCATACATAATATGTCGAGGAATTTGGGCTTGTGTACAAACATAAACGTTAACATTCACAGCGTAGGTTTTTTTTAAGTAACTTGCTCCGCGTATCCCTCACAGCCCGAAATATGCGCGAGCAAGATAATCCATACATCGTTTGACCCTGCACGAGGTCACGATACCTCGTAATGTCATCACAGGTTGTTGAGTGAATGAAATATACAGGTTAGAGACAGTAAATAAACGCCCAGCATCCTAAAGGAAAAACGTGACTAGGTTCCAACTGGCTCCGCAATGAATCTTATCCATTCGGACTAATAACTGTTAGTATAACTTATCTGCATACGTAAATCAACATGTTTATCTGACTATAAAAATAAATTAGCCTGTACACAAAGATGTGACAAGCCTTCTTTTTACACCTATGTTTTAATTGATGATACGAACGTATTTTATTGAACTATTTCTCCTTCATAGGGGAGCCGCGGTGGCTCAGTGGGTAAGGTGCTGGGTTCTATCCCGGTGTTGGTCGAGAAAGTTCCCCAGGATTGGGAGAGTGGTTAGATCGAGTACCGCATCTTCACCAGCAGGTGCAGAATCCCAAATCTCCTGCCACCCAAACATACAGTAAGATAACGGTGTATTTTCCACATTATTGATTTATTATTTGAGTAGGCTTATTGGCATCGCGTATTTAAAAGGAAGCCGCGGTGGCTTAGTAAGTAAAACAATGGCTCGCTAACCAGGAGGTCTCGAGTTGGCCGAGAAAGTTTCTCGAGATTTTTCGGCGTGGTCCCACCTTATCAATAGTGCCTTTCGTATTTAAACGGGATCAGTAAATTTTCACCAAGTCAGACGCTTGCTCGCTAATAACCAGGTCTCGGGTTCATCGAGAAAGTTTCTTGAGATTTCCCGGCATGGCTCCCCCTTGTCAGTGGTGCAAGGACAGTGTCTAGTCGTTCGGATGGGTCGAACGACTAGAGGTCCCGTGTACAAATTGGCGTGCACGTAAAAGATTACATAACAGTTTGAATTAGAAAAAAGAGTATGCCATAGAGCAACTGCCCGGGCAAAATTTCCCTCATAGCACACTGTACGGCGCATGCCCGTCTTAATTATCCCAGTCAGTGCAGAAAAGTAGGACGTTAAACCCCATTTTATTTTTGTGTATGTAAAACGAAGACTGACGATGGAAGTCCCCGCCATCCTTTTACTATAGTCATAAGTGCACAAAAGTCATAAATTCATTTATAAAAAAAATCTCCAAAGCGAACACGAGAATATCTTCTTGTTCTAGGTTTTATTTTTCAACTGAACTTTTAAATATCCTTATCACTGGATAGTGTCAAAACATCCGGATTATGAAAGATATTAAATTGGGTTTAATGTCCTACTATTCTGTACCAAAAGGAGCTAACGAAACTTGGCATGCACCATCACACTGGACTAACAAGGGCGTTTCAGTGTGGTTTACCTTGTCAAATGTGTAGGACGGAAGGCCCGGCAAGGAACCGCGTCTAGTCGTTCTGATGGGTCGATAAACCGAGGTCTCGTGTACACATTGGCGTACACGCAAAAGAGCCCTTGACAATTGCATGGTATTCGAAATCAGAGTAGACCATAGCGCCGCTGTCCGGACAAATTTCCCCTATAGCACACTGCATGGAGTATGCCCATCTTCACAAGCCAGAAAGTAAAACGATAACGCAATTTCATTTCATTTAAACATACATTATGCAAGAGCTAAATCTGCCTATTGCAAGTCTTTATTTAAGCTTCAGATGTTATAGAAATTATTAATTAGACCTTTATTTACACGGCAAGCTTAAAATCAACTTTGTAGTCCCACAGATGGCTTGGATACAGTTTGGGTTTAAACAGTCGTCCATTTAAAATTAAATCAATAAATAGCGGACCAAGCTAACGTTTACCGTTAGTCGCTGATGTCACTACCGGAAACTGGTGATGAAAGGCCTGTCAAGTGAGGCAGCCATTGAGCATGTTACTTGATAATCGAGAATATGTGTGTGGAGTTGTCGTCTGTCAATCAAAGGATCGCCAATTCTCATAAACGGTGCAGACACAATTTATGCCTATTTCTAGTCCAAACTTCCAACAGTGACAATTCCGTAATTTGACTGAAATTTTCAACATTTTCTTTTTTTATCATCTATTTTTGAATTATTATAGCAAGAATGGTTAACTCTTCATAAAACTCTTAACTAATGTATCTTTAATTTGTGTTATCTAAAAAGGTTTGTGAGTTATTAGCTTACGGTATCACGTAATAGCAGTTCCAGGCGGCGAAGGCGCTTTAAAGAAACAGTCTTAGATATATATTGTCAACGAAACAGGTTGTGAGTGAAAAGCTCTGTCTTGCATAACTATCGCAACCTCTGTAACCCCGTAATACTCTTCGCAAGAAACTAAATATTTAAGTTTTCGTATGCGGTTGGCCAGAAGTCATACCCTCCTCCCCAATATGCCTCCTACAGAATAACCCTGTCAAAATGTGTCAAATGTATAGTAGTAAGAAAGATAGATTGGCAGGCAACGAAACCTACGCCCACTGCTAAATCGTCCAAGCTGTCGACAAGGCTTGTCGCAGATTTATTCTTTTGTAGGTAATTGGTGAGGGGGGGGGGGGGCATTTTCAAGACAATTTCATACAGATCAGATTATAATTTTTGTCGTTTGAGAGTTCACAAGGTTCTACAAACTGAAACAAGGGCCTCAACTCTGGAAGTAATTTACAGAAAGTTTTGAAACTTGACAGGCTTTTTCGTTTTACTAATTTAAATAATGCATATAAATTTCATACAGATCGGATGATAACTTTTGTCATCCGAACGTTCACAAGGTTCGCTAATCTAAATGGTGCATATTAATTTCATGCAGATTGGAAGATAGCTTTCGTCGTTAGAGCGTATAAATTTCATACATATCGGATGATAACTTTTATCAATCGAGGATTAACAAGGTGCAACAAAGTGAAACAAGGGTCATAAGTCTAGATGTAATTAACGAAAATTGCTGAAATACAATAGGATTCTTCAATAACTAATCTAAATGACGCATATAAATTTTATACAGATCGGCAGATAACTTTTGATGTTAGAGCGTTCACAAGGTGCAACAAAGTGAAACAAGGGCCATAAGTCTGGAAGTAATTAACAGAAATTAAATAGGATTCTTCATCTCGCTAATGTAAACAATATATATCAATTTAAAAATAATCGGATAGCTTTTGGCGTTAAGACAGTTCACAAGAAATTGTGGACGACGGATGGACGGGGGCGACGGCAATATACGTTCACATTTCCATGTATAAAAACGAAGCAGTTTATTCATTAGATTAATTTAACTTATTGGCTCTTTTGACCCAACGTTTTGGTGGGCATGTATCAATACCATGTGTGTGTATCTATGTATGAATGTTCGCATATCACGCTTCGTGGCCGCGATCCACCCCACATAATGTGGTATCAAATTAACCAGCATGATCCCGTGAATGTTTTAGGCCCCTGGAGAAGCCGGGTATCCTGCTTGTTTACAATAAAATGCAAAACCACGAACCAGTTGTCATTAGATATACATGTGAATACGCGGCATCGCCCGGGACCCAAATTCACGGGGTCGTGCTGGTTAATTTGATACCACATAATGTGGGGGTGGAGCGAGAGAGAGCGAGAGTGCGAGAACCTTGTCACTTCGGAACTAACACACGGTTCAATTTTATTTGTGCGTTGGGGCCTTTTGCAATGAGAGAAGAAAACCCACGATGTTGGACAGGCGACTCCTACTCCTTGCCACGTACAAGCTTGGAATCGAAATCTAAGCCCTCGCGTTAAAACATCCCACCATCCAACCCCCTCTTTCAATTTTCATCTCATCATTATACGATCGCCTACCTAATCCCTGGTTTCTTTAGGAACGGTCTCTGATCGGACGATCAGAGGCCTTCATAAAGTAACTACCTAACCCAGTGAGTTTTCTCTTTGTCAGGGAGCCACGGTGGCTGGTTGCGTGTTCGATCTCTGCATTGGCCGAGGAAGTTCATCGGAATTTTCGGGGGTGGTTTCCCCTTGTCAGTGGTGCAGGACGGCGGGTCTGACTAGGACAGCTGTCTAGTCGTTCGGATGGTATGCACGTACAAATGCACATAAAAGATCCCTTGGCAGCTGGAATTCGATATAAGAGTAAGCACTGTATGACGTATGCCCGTCTTCATTATTCCAGTCGGAGCAGAACAGTAGGATGTTAAACCCCATTTCATTTTTTATCCTGGTCAACCCCAAACTGCATGCAAGCGAATAAAGATATAGCATGTTAGTCCCACAATTTCACCCGCGACAATTTTCGAATCATGTAAAAGGGAGATAACTCCAATATATAACGTTGATCAAATGGAGGCAGACCACCATTAATTTCCTCATTGACTTCAATGTTAATTCTGGCCTCTTTGCCCACCTCCAACTTTTCCCCAAATTTTCGTTGGGCTGAATGCTTTTCACTACAGACAGAGGAACAAATTGTCATGTCTTTGTACTAAAATTTGTATGACGTTGACCACCAACTGGTCTAACTCCAGCAAAATAAATTGTACATAACACATAGAAGTCATTTTTGGGAGAAAAGGGTTAAAAAAAAAGGAAATATTGATTAACCCAATAAATATAGTTTTGTCCTTTGCACATGAGAACCTTATAAGGCCATGTGTGAAATGGTTATTATATACCAAACACCGCCCCATCAGCACTTAGTTTTTCTATCATTTGTAAAAATTTTCATACAATTTGGATTAGATTAAAAAGGTGAAATTAATATACAATAGTATGTTTTTATGCACAATGTCTAGTCTATTTGTTTCACGTGTTAAAGCTTTGGTAAACTCTGGAACCAACACCTCTACTCTTGTTGAGGTCTTTCTCTTTCAGCATATGGTGTCACATTCAGCATATTTCTACTAACACTATAACTCAATGATTCCTTGGATTTTTCACCCCAACACAGGTCTTCTTCATCGACTATCATTTGCTGAGATTCCTCTGATGTAAATTCAGAGATTTTATTTATATTAATATCTGTGTTACTAGAAAACATTTCATCTGCCTCATCCCACTCAATAATGTCTTCATGGTCTGTCAGAACAATGTCATCTTCTTCTTTTTCTGTGTCCTCATCGGAGCCAAATCTTTTTCTTTTTTTCCTCATGTACACAAGTCTTCTTATTTTAGCTGTATTTAGAACTGGCCTCTTATCAATTTGAATACAACTCACAGAAAATCCAAGCTTGGATAGAATCCGGAATCCTTCCTTTTTAAGGTTACAACTGTACATAGCAACAGCTACATATTCTTGTAACATATTTAGTTTCAGAGATCGAGAATGAAAGAGAATTGACAATGCTGAGCATACTTTTGGACTTTGAAAACGTTTGGTGAAATTAGATGTTGCTGCGGAACAAACACATTTCCACAGAGTTGGTGTCCATGTTTCAAATTCCTTTTGCATTACTTTGATGTCAAAGCTTTCAAAATCAAAAATTGGTGTCTTATTTATTTCAATAAGTCTTGCCTTATTTCGAGCATATTCTTTGGCTTCTGTTTTTATTAATGTCGAAAGCCCTTTTGTGCTTGCTTCAAAAATATAGTCAACATCAGACTTCAAAAGAAGTTGGAGAGTTTTGCTAATGTTTCCATCTGCAAGACATTTCACAATGGGCATTAAGTCCTTCAACATCTTTATGGACTTAAACTTTACCAATTTAAATCGTGTAGGTCTTAAAGAATTACATAGTAGTAAACTATTATTTTGTTTTGGAGAACTGAATGTTTGTGATGGGGAATGAAATGATTGAGCTATACATGTTTGTTGATTCAATGGAGATGTCTCACTACTTTTGTTAAAACAGTTTATGATTGGTGATGATTTATTAACAGTATGTGTGCCAGGGGTATGTTTACTGTGTGTTGTATCTGGTTTATTGGATAGGTTTTGAATCGGCATGCTAATATCTGGCATGGTTGAAGTTTGCTGAATGACAATAACATTTGTATCTGGCATGATGAGTGTTTGTTCTCTTGTTATGACATTAGGTGGCATGATACTAACATTATCTTGTTGATTTAGAATACTGGCTTGCTTGATGATACTGCTTCTACCTTGTTGACTTGTTATGACATTAGGTGGCATGATACTAACATTATCTTGTTGATTTACCATACTGGCTTGCTTGATGATACTGCTAATAACTTGTTGACTTGACACTGGTTTAACACCAGATAACATGACACTTGTATTAGTTTGTTGACTTAAGCCATGATTTATAATAGATGGAGTAATTTTGTTATTATTTTGTACATTTGACTCAGACTGTAGATCATCTTGCATAACAGTAGTAATATTTTGTTGGTCTGTCACAGATTTTATATTAACTGGCTGAACACTATTATTATTTTGTTGGTCTGATACAGGTATTATATTAACTGGCTTAACAGTAATAATATTTTGTTGGTTTGACATAGGTTTTATAGTATATACCGGCTTAACAGTATTAATATTTTGTTGGTTTGACATAGGTTTTATACTAACCGGCATAACAGCAATATTTTGCTGATTTGAAGCAGGTTTTATTTTAACTGTGGTGATACTGTTATTATTTTGCTTTGGTTTAGATGCGTTATTAACTGATATGATGCTTTTATTGTTTGGATTTGGAGCAGGTTGTTTAGGAGACACGAACTGGATATTTTTTTGATGATCTGGCTTGACACTGAAGTTAACCTGTTTATTTAATATCGACACTAAATTAGCTGGACGGATACGGACAGTATTTTGCTCACTGGCCATTGTATTCGGTGGTCTGATGATGTTGATAGTTTTATCTTGTAAACTGTAATTAGTAGTAATGGATGGCCTTTTGTTGACAGTATCTTGTTGACTGGATACAGATGTTGATGCAATATTGTTAAGATTTTGTTCTATGGGTTCTAATTTGACAAGCGGGAGCTGTGGCTGCACCATTGAAACTTTGCAATCTGATGCAGTTCTATCCACATCTGATGGAATTCTCGGCTTTTTTTCTAAAAAGAAATAAATCAATCAATGCGTAAACACGTAAATACATAACTGTATAGCATAAAACAATTGAACAATAATTGTAGAACATCTACCTGAAATACCTGTGTAACAAAAACTACATAGCAAAATTATGTTGCACCCTTAATACATTGCACTTTCTTACAACAGGTTAAAATTACTGACAACCAAACTAACAAACCATGACAAGAATATTTTACACACTGAGCTAAGTCGCTAATATTCGGGACCTAGAAATTGACACAAATGGGTCGCAACGCATACAATAATGTAATATGAATGTATATAAATTGATTTACATTCAATCGTTTCTGTTTTTACTCATTTTTACTGTAATTTGTAATCAGTTAGGTTCGGCGAAATACACCAGTATTCTCAATCGAATTTCAATTTTTTGGGCATGCTCTTCAGATAAGAATATAGCGTCACCGTTTGACATGACAGACTTGTGGAATATGCCTAGCCTAGTTTTTCGAGTCCCTTATTACAAATAGAGCTGAAACGCATTATGGTACACGATTCGTGTACCAATTGTAAAATGTTTATTTTGTCTTAAATATTAGATATCAGAAGGTTATCTTTTCCCGGTAAGATCACAACATCAATGTTGATTTAAAACGACAAATAAATCGTGTTTTCAATGTGGAGGATTTTGGATGATATTGAGTTAGAGACTTAGCTACTTTAAGGCTGCGTTTAAAAATGTCTTTGTCATCTAGGATCAGAAAATTGCAGAGATATGTTTTCTATCATCACAAATCTATTTTGCAAAAATATATGTTTTTGTATCCTTTTACCAGTTGTGGATGCCATGCATGAGGCAGAGTATGGGAAGTCCACAAAGCTTTTTGATTTATTATTTACTTATCAGTGTAATGTTGACCAATTAAGAGAAAATACAGTGTAAATAATAGGTGTCGACCATGTCGCACGCACAGCAGAGTAGGCATATGCACATTTTTTTTAAACATCTGATACTACAACATCAGTTTCTTTGATATGTTGCTCTAGAGTCTAAAGAACACCATACCTTTTTAATTTGTACATACTTTGCCTAGAAATGACTTTAAGCATCAACAGTACTAAATTACATTGTATTGCACTCTTAACACACTCATCAACAAATCCTGTTAAAATCTTCCAGAAACCGTGTAATAGACCTTGAAATATCTTTAAGCTTGTATCAGTGTTGGATTAATTAATTGATATGATCTATCTCAAATCATGCATAAAATTTAACATGAACCTCCTCAATTTAAAGTAGCTAACTCAATATCATCAAAAATCTTCGACATTGAAAACATGAATTATTTGTCAATTCAAATCAACATTGGTCTTGTGATCTTACAGGGAAAAGATCCAATATTCAAGACAAAATAAACATTTTACCATTGGTACACGAATCGTGTACCATAATGCGTTTCAGCGCCATTTGGAACAAGGGACTCAAAGAACAGGGCTAGATATATTCCACAAGTCATGTCAAATGGTGACGCTATATTCTTATCTGGAGAGCATGCGCAATAAATACCATCAGTGTAGAGGACTGGAAAAACCTGACACTAAAGATTGCCATTCACATGAGACTTCTGGCGTATTTCACCGAACATAACTGATTAGAAATTACAGTAAAAATAGAAACGATTGAATGTAAATCAGTTTATATACATTCATATTACATTATTATATGCGTTGCGACCCATTTTTGTCAATTTCTAGGTCCCAAATATTACCGATTTAGCTCCTTTAAACTGTAATTTGACTTTGTTTGACATGTGTAATAAATCAAACTTTTTCCAAAGAGTTAAGGCACTACCCCACTTATAATGTTTAAATTAATATTTTTCAAAAAAACAATTCACCTGAACTCGAGCTATCAATATTGATGGACATTGTTAGTGCATTGTACGGTTTAGTGGTTTTACTTTTCGTACTTCTATCTTCAAACATGAACTTTTTATGTGGCAGATCTAATTCGTGGAAGGTTTTGTAATCTATGAAGCACTGGGATAATTCTTTAATTTCATTTATCAAATTTTGTAGTTTTACTCTCCACACTTTAACCTTCCTTAATTTTTTGTGGCAGCCAGAGCAAACAAATGCACCAATGTTTTCTGGAACATCAAAGTCTTTCAAAAAAAATTCTGTTACCAGATCGAATGATGCCCCCTTTACATATGAGCATGGATCATTGTAATAATTAATGACATCCACATTCTTTAGAATGTAATATCTATCTTGGCTGTCACAGCCGCAGCAGGCACATACGGTTTGGTTTGGAACAACAACGCTCTCAGTCGGAATAGCTTCAGTCGACATTTTTTATTTTTCTCTGTGACAATCAGAAACTTTGAAATCTTTTCATTGTTATAAATTGTGAGAAATTGTGAGTTTTTCTTGAAAATCCATCAACATTGAAAGTTACTTCCCCTTATCCCATGTAGTCTCGCCCAACAGGATTCACATTGGTCTCGTTAATCCAGACTGTCTCAATAAAAATGTCTAGGAAGAGGCGGTGGCGGCGGATGGGGGGTGGGGGTGGGGGCGATAATTATTTCTCTTAACCTACACGTACAGTTCTATGCCTACACGGTCCACTATTTACCCCAAATCCAAACCAACTTTGATTACCACCAAAAAACTGTTTTTACTTTGAAGGTAACACACGTTTACATGCATGGGGTATCTTTATACTTATATAGTCCTATGCATAATGTAAAGAATTATCCATATTCCCTGAAATCCCCCCCCCCCATTTTTTTTTTAGTTCTTTTTTAAAATAGTTCTCAGAAAAAAACAGAGGATAAAATCAAGAAAGACAACTCTTATTGTCATCGCAGTGATTATGGAGTCAGACTATTAATTATCTCCCCATTGACTTTAATGTTAAATCCATGATATTTCTTGATCTATAACATTTTTTGAGAAATCCCGATGACCTTAATCTTTATAACCACAAAAAGCAATACGTAAAAATTTTAAAAATGTTTGGGTAAATCTATGGACCCAACTTTAAGCCCCAACATGCCAAAAAGATTACATGTCTAGAGTTTAAAATTACACAATCTCCAGTAGACCCTACTTTTATTATTCCAAAAATTATCTTGGTCCAATAATTATTCGTTTAATATATATATATATATATATAGAAATAAAGGTTAAAAATGCCTAAAGAAAGTATATTATTATACTATTGTTTAATTATCTACATGTTTCGCCTGAGCTTGTCAAGACATAATAACAATAACAATGACGTGACGTCATGGAAGAATAAACATACAATAATATAATAATAATGAAGTAGATAATATATAATATATAGCATAATATTGTAATTATTTTGAAATGTTTAATTTGGGTTTGAATCCAGCCCAATACAATCTTCATGAAGTCTTTACATTAAAATAGTAACATATATTTGACTTTTGAATTTGTCTGTGATGTCACGAATTGGACGTTAAGCCCCAAGAACGAACTTAACTTTTGAAGTATTTGTTTACGACGTCTGATTTTAGTTTACTTTCGATCCATACCATTTTCTTTACGTTAGCGCAACGCATAATATGACACTAGGTACGGGATGGGTAAGGGGTGGTGCCGGCAAGTACCGCCGACGACTGCTAAGATATCAATTGCCGCAACACACTTTATGACCCAAGACTGAAAATAAAATAAGATTTAAATTGTAGCGACAACAGGGCGCGGTGCGTCAACAGAATAATGGGTCTACATCATGATTTTCGAAAAAGTAAGTACTGAAGTGTTTTCGTGGAAATGGGTGTGCGTCCGGTACCCCCCCCACACACACACACACACACAAGAACACGCCCTGCCAAAAGCCCCGAAGGTATGCAAGGCGCATGATGATATTGAACCAAACTGTAATTATGTTCAGATCAAAAAATTGAACTTTCGTCGGCATGGTTACCATTTAATTATAGCGATTTTTTTTTTTTTTTTTTTTTGGTGAAAATAGTATCATTAATTGTGACTGTATATACCCTTCCGAAGGCGACTTTCCCCATTCAGCTTCAAAGTTTAAATAAAGCGAAATAAGAAATTGATTGCCATAAATATATTAGTATGAATTTTTTGGGGAAAGTGTTATCATTAATTGCGACTTTTCCCATTTAGCTTCAAAGTCTAAATGGGGGGGGGGGGGGCGAATGGTTAGCACGTGCGTGCTGTATCATAAAGCCTGTCATTGAGTCAACTGGCGTGGTTTCGAATCCCCGGTTGTACGTGACAAGGAGTAGGGTCGCCTGTCCAACCTCGTGGGTTTTCTCCGGGTCCTCCGGTTTCCTCCCACTGCTAAAGACCCTTACGCGCAAGCGAATTATTGAAATAAAAAAAATTAAACCATATGTTAGTCCCGAAATTACCTAGTTTGTGTCGAGTGGACGTTAAACCCCATTTCTCACTCTCTCTTTCAAAGTCTAAATAGAGTAAAATAAGAAATTGTTTGCCATAAATATATCAGTATAAATAAAAGAAGAATTTAAGAAACAGCAATACATCAATTTTCAAGCGTCCAAACCTTTACACACTGAACCAAAGCATAAAAAAGATGTCAGTACGCAAGGTCTAATTATCCCCTACATCGGAAAATCCCAGCCTCCTCATCTCGTCAATCTAGATTTGAAAATGATATGGTTTTTTTTACCACCCCCCACCGTTGACTATTATTGGCGGTCCCTGGCTTAACATTGTCTATGATATCACTTTTGTGGAAGCAGACGTTAAAGGGACTATCCTGATTGAAACAGAGTCTCAAACATAAAAGTCCGAGTACGTATGAAATTTAAGCACCAAGGTACAAAGGAATGGTGTTTTTACCTTGTCTCAAAATTTCAGCTCAAAATATTGAGTCGTGTGGACGTGAACTTCAAAACTGCTTATCCAGACATGTCACCCTCTTAAGATTTCGGGTCAATGTTTTCGTTGGGTGACTTTTCAGGCGTGCTTCCCCCTTGTCAGTGATGCAGGTCGGATGGCCTGACAAGGAAAGTTGTCTAGTTGTTCGGATGGGACGCAAAACCGAGGTCCCGTGTACACATTGGTGTGCACGTAAAAGATCCCTTGACAGTTGGAATTCGATATAAGGGTAGGCCGTATTGACGCTGTCCGGGCAATATTTCCCTCATAGCACACTGTATGGCGTATCCCCGTCTTCATTAGCCCAGTTCGGAGCAGAATAGTAGGACGTTAAACCCCATTTCATTTCATTTTCATTTCATTTCGTTGGGTGACCTGATGATCGATTCCCGTTCCTTTAGAGGTCTACTGTGAATGACCCACGTGTTGTACTTGGTGGCGAAAGGTAAATTTCACCTACACATTATTTTTATAAAATAAAGGTCTGATTTTATCCAGACACCCCATAATACAGCTTGGGACACAGATCTCCATTTCCAGATGAAGACTAACAGGTTTAAAGAAGCTAAGTCTCTAACTCAATATCATCAAAAATCTTCGACTTGAAAACACGAATTATTTGTCAATTCAAATCAACATTGGTCTTGTGATCTTACAGGGAAAAGATGGGCTTCTGATATCCAATATTCAAGACAAAATAAACATTTTACCATTGGTACACGAATCGTGTACCATGTAGGCCTACCATAATGCGTTTCAGCGCCATTTGGAACAAGGGACTCAAAAACTCAAAGAACAGGGCTAGACATATTCCACAAACCACGTCAAATGGTGACGCTAAATTCTTATCTGGAGAGCATGCGCAATAAATACCATCGGTGTAGACTGGAAAACCAGACGCTAAAGATTGCCATTCATATGAAACTTCTGGCGTATTTCGCCGAACATAACTGATTAGAAATTACAGTAAAAACGGAAACGAGTGAATGTAAATCAGTTTATATACATTCATATTACATTATTATATGCGTTGCGACCCGTTTTTGTCCATTTCTAGGTCCCAAATATTAGCGATTTAGCTCCTTTAAGTTGTTTGAAAACGTATCATATATACTGCGTTAGTTGCGATCGGACCTTTAAGGTAGAGAATTTTAAGGGATTTTAACACAAACATAAGCAGTTTTATTGGTATTGGCCCTTAAGACACTAAGAACTAAGGCACTGCCATTACTGGTGTGGGTCCGGTCAGCCATCAGTTAATTTAATCCGCCACTGCAGAAAATGTTATAATTTCATGCTTGTTAAGTTACTTCACCTCTCGGCCCTCCATGTAAGATTTGATCTCAACGTTTAAGCGACGTTCTCGTAGCATATAGTTTCATATATGCCACCACGTTGATGCTGTTACGCGGCAAAGATGGGATATGTAAAAGTTCCTGGCGCTTTAAAACCAGCTACGTGAGCGAGTGAAATATCTATATACGTAGTTTACAAATCAATGTTACATTTTCATGTGTCAATGATATAATAAGTATCATATAGGGAGGTTGAAAAGTAAAGTTAGGCCTAAATTTCCCCGTTTCAAAGCTGAAAAGAAATTTTAATCTGCCATGTTTCAGTAGACCACTGAAAAGAAATGTTTAGTCAGTATATCAGTTAACCAGCTAAACATTCATCTATTTAAGATACAATGGAATTATAGACATTATTCACTTAAAAGTCATTACATAAATTGGTGATAATATATATGATCTCTGTACTCTTCCATGAACTGTTGGAAGGCCCTATATAAAGTCAATTGATCTATTTTGTTATTATTCTGGTGAGGTGGGGTTTTTATTTTTGAAAATATTCTTTAATATTTGGTAAGATTTACTGTAAGATAACTTTGAATGGTGGTTTTGAATCATTTCTTGTGCATCTATAAAAATGATAATTATTAATTATTATATTAATAACGATTCTTTTGTAGCCTATCCTATACAGTTATTCCGTTTTTCATTTTTGGGGGTTATTTTTTAAATACACACTGGACTGTTGATATCTCATAATACACACATTCTTCACATTAAAATAGTATTTGTTTTGGCTTTGGCTTTTGAGAATGACCAAACGTGAATGGTGTACGTGGCTTGTTGACAGTGCCTTTAATCATGTCCGTGTGTGTGCGACAAGGGCTCAATAACCGCTCCCTGAATACTACGTCATCAAACTTTGGGAAGATGGCTGACTTGAGATTAGCTAAAGGCTAATAAATACTTAGAAAATAGTTTAACAGGCGATAGCATAAATAGTGAAGGGAAAGAGGAAAGTTAGGACACTCTCATAGTTCATGTAGATACGTCAGTAGCGTTTTAAGTCTAGAATTACGCCCCTTTTCCTTTCTATCGTTAAGAGTAACCGGAAATATTTGAGTAACTTTGGTCCGCTGTGTTGAAGTTGAACTGATTGGTCTTGTAACGCAGTTAGGCCTACATGATTAGATAAGGTGTACAAGTTTTAAGTCAGTGCACTTTGTATAAAACTTAGTCCAGGGAGTCCGTAACTATTCCTTCTGAAAGTTACATTTGGAAAGCTAGCAGTAAACCAACAGCATGGAAGACTTGGGTAATTTAATTTTGATCATAATTATTTTTTTTTTTAAATTTCCCTAATAAAAAGTAGCTTTTTTGGGGGTTAGTGATTAATATTGTCAGTATAGTGCGTGTGTGACAGTATCACAAAAATGGCATCATGTACTGTTATGAACATATCTTGTGACTCTTTAAGGCTCGATCATAGTAATAAGTCAATTATGAATAAATGGTCGGTAGGCTTATTTATGCGAAATATTTTTTATGGCCAATTCCATGAAAAAACAAAAACAAAAATCCCAGAATATTCTGTTTTGAAAACTATAAAATGTTCTTAAATTTAATTAGAAAACAAAATTTAATCTAGTAATCTCTCATGCTTGGATGAATCGGATTAAAAAGAGGTCCATATGAATATGATGTTATCTTTAGAACACTTACATGTATCACTGGAATGTTTATACTACATGTTGTGTGTTGCAAAGTTTGTATTGATTGAACCATTTTTAGACTGATATTCATTTTTAGAGATTTAATTTTCATTAAGCTTATATTTTACAAGGATTTTTAATGATGTGACAGCAGCTTTAAGTTATAGACAGTTTATACATCATATTCTCCTGGCTAAAGTAGAACATTTTAATTTTATATATATATTTCATTTTATGTATATAAACTTGTTTCACAATAAATATCAATTATTACATGTAAGCCTACATGTGCGAATACAGTAGCCTAACTGAAAACTTCTGTGAATGAATAACCTCTTTTACAATGGTACCATAGCCAAAAGTACAAGCGCAAGTACATCTGGTCTATCACATTCCACTTAACAAAGTAGCTTATGTACATGTAAGTTTCATGACTTATTGTATTCATTTTATATGGGAACACTCCCATGAAGATCTATTTATGCGAGATATTATATGTGGAACAATATTATTTTTCATGAATTGAAGTTATTGAATATCGTGTTTCAATCATTTACACGATAACTATGTATCTTCACTTAAAATTTCATACTTTTTAAAAGCTTTATTAATAAACAGTTGGATTGGAAGTTTATAATTTAAAGTATAGTCTAACACTAACACTGCTTCAATTTTGAAGACACCCAATAATAGTCTGACTTTCAGTGATTTTGTTAAAGATACTTTATGGGAGATATAAAGAGCTGGCAGTTCTCACTATAATAGTTTACTAGATAATGTAAATTTCAGTCAAATTGATCCACTCTGAACCAAGATTTTAGCAATTGGATTTTCAGCCTGGCCTCGATCATCATTACTACACGATTATCCATTTCATGATTAATTTATGAATAGAAGTCGAACAGGAAATCGGAACCTAATCCAATAAACATCGCAAGCTAGCGATGGCATCAAGAGTTGATTATGATCTTGATAAGTTACTAATTAATAATTTAGATAACATTTCAGGCCTAAAGAAAGACCTGCAATAGGCAGATTTAGCTCTTGCATCATGTATGTTTAAGTTAAATAATTCAAGCATTTATCACTCACATTCGTGTGTTTATTGATGCTTGAATGTTTTTTAATGTTGTATTATATCAGTTATATCAAATTTTTTATGATCATGTCTACATGTATGTTAACATACTTGCTAAATATACTTCACATGTCACTTTAGTTTGGATATGGACACTGAACTTTATATTCACTAATTAATTAAATTAACAACCAAGCCTTAAGACACGTGTATACATATTATTACATATAGTAAGCTGTATCATATTTTTTACCAGGTCATTTATTATCACATTATGATTTATGAACCGGAAGATGAATAGTTCATAGCACTTGTTGGAAAGTTCAAATTGGATTTCATTTCAAAGATTGTTCAAGATACATGTATTAATAATGCATTGTACAGTATGTACATGTATGTAACACACAATACTGTACACATAGCTACATGTATAAAGGCATATTAATGATAAACTGGAGTGGAACCACTGTCGTTTCAACCTGAAAATGTGATGTTGAAATGACATAATTATATAAAGGCTTACTGCTACATGTACATGTATGTACATGTGAATTTAAGCCAATGACTCATAATTCATAAATTTCAATTTAAAATGTCAGTCTATATATATATATCACTATTATAACTCGTCAGTACAATGTAATTGTAGGCCTCTGGTCAAATCCCAACATTTTCTCAACACTATTCCTTACTAAAATGTCAAAACATTTGAATACATATGTAGGCTTGTTCACTGATCTTTACACTATTTTATACATGTATGGGTTATTAGGTTAGCCAGATTTGAGTACCTTAGTACATTGTCTACTTGGTATTACGTTTGACCTATACCTATTTTTGTGCATTGATTGTATGTTTTTTTTGTGTATGGTGTTGTCCTCCTGAACTTATTATATTAGTATATGATTTTTAAAGATGTCCCTCCTCTATAAAACTAGCAACTACATGTTATGTACATACATGTATATTATACAGTAAAATATAAAGTACACAGATATCGAAAATAAAAAAAATAAAGTAGTAGCAAATAAGCATATGTTCAAACAACAGTAAATATGAAGGACTTCCGGATTTTACATCTACATGGTTTACTTTTCGAAAATGAAAACTTATATATTTGATTGGTGTTATACATTGTACAAGGGGAGACAACTTATACAAGAGGACTTTCTTGTCATTGACATAGACTCACTGATTAATCTTCATCTCAAATTTATACAGTATGGACTAGAAAGAAACCATCTTCAATAAATTTACATCCATTAACATTTTGGATACAGTATTACATACAGTAGGAATTTCATTTTGTATTACCATAATTAATTGATACATGTACATGTATGTAGTGTATCCATGGCAGCCAATGTATTTGTTACCCCAGCTCTTCCACTGTATCCCCTCCTCCCTTTACTACGCATCTTGTCATGTTGGTGTTATGCTTAAGGTCCAAAGGAATAAATTATCTTGTCATGTTGCGTGTGTTATGCTTAAGGTGTAAAGGAATACAATTAATCAGCAGTGTATGTTAGAAAACAAAATGCCTTAAAATTGCTTTTCAGACAGTATAAATTTGTTTTAATTTTTATATCAAAATGCTTAAAATACGAAATGTAAATATTTTGATAGTAGATTTCTGCCCAGCTTCACTAGAAGGCTTGATATTGCCTTAACCCCATACATCTTATGAAGCCCTTTACATAATACAAGTCACTACATTTTTCGTCACTAATTTTGATGGGTTACTAACCCAGCTGCGGGCCTCTCAGATTCCTCAATAGAAAATATCATCGCGAATACCAAGTCACACACTTTCCAACCAAAATGCCTAACTGATAATTGAGTTGCAAACTCCAAGGATCGTTCAATTTTCAAGGTTGCTGGAATTTCTGGCTATGATTATACCACGACCCAATTCACATTTTAGTACAAACCGTTCTAATTTACTTTTTGTTCTTCCATTTTGCTTCGGTGAGTTTTTCAACTAAACAAAAAAGCTTTCAACGGCAGTAAATGAATGATGATCTATTTCTTTATTTGTTTGTGCCCAAAATTTTGGGAATTTCAGACTAATCTAGCAACAGCAAGATGTTGTAAAACTCGCAGTCGTTACTTCAAGAACATGATTTCTGCCTTACACCCTTTGATACTTGTACTTCTTGGCAGAAAAATAAGATTGCTCTTCACTTTATTTTTACTTGTACCTGCATGGCTGTATATTATATGATTCGTTGTAGATTGTTGCAACAAAGACAGGTTTTTGATATTATTTGCAACAGTATAGGTAAACACATTGGCAGTGTAGGTAGACCTCTAGCAGTATATTTTATTAAATGTTGTGAACCAATGATAAACAATTTTATTAGATATTGTGAAACCAATGATGAACACTACAAGGCTTCATAATTACTTTTATAACCCAATTACTGGCAGTTATCCCCCTGAAATAACCAGATGACCTTATTAAACATGTCTGGTAATAACCTACCTACCCCATTCCTAATAAGGACAAGTTGTGGGTGGTACAGGGGTCAAAAAGGTCAATTTGGAAAGCTACTAGGTGGTTGTTTGAAGGTAGGAATTCATAGTTTTATCATCTGTGTAATATATAGTCTGTATGTTATTGTAAGTAAACTGGGGTATATTGTAGTTTAGTATGGTGTATTAACTGTGAGTTATACACATATTTACCGGTGAATAAGTTGAAAAGATATTGTATATCAAGTGTGTAGGTAGTCATCTCATCAGCTGAGAGGTAAGGTCAGATTCTTTTCTGTCAACTGATAAATCTAGCATCGCATTACATTCATCTGTTAGTATTGATAAGAAAATTTATGCAGTATGATTATATGAGTCAGACTTCCGAGAAAATAAAGTATATGCCAGTTAAATTACGTAGAATTATAAAATCTAAGACTAGTACATATATTACTAATAAACTTTCATTTAAAAGTAATTACATACATTATATGGACTAAGGAAATGTAATGGAAGCAAATTTTAATAATTTACTACATTACATCTAAGACTGAATAATTATAAAAACAGCCGAATGATAGTTATGGCAATTGGTATTTTTAATAGGTGTTGGTGAAGGCTAAGCATTTATTTTATAATACATAAGTCACGATAGAGCATACCAAGTCTGTCAGAATTTTAAGGAGTGCATCAGATAATTGATTTTGTAGGTTCTTTTTTTTTGTAGATGAAATTTATGCCATCTTATATTACTTTAGCAGATGGCTAACTTTAGCAGCTGGTGCCATGTAGTGTATGTAATGCATGTATTTTATGAGGGAACTGTTGGATGCTCTCCTAGACAAATTTCTTAACACCTGGCAAATGTGAAGTTAGATTTAATAGATAAAATTTAATTTAGATAAAAAAAAATTCTTTCATTCCAAAAGGCATACTGTATGTAGGCCTAAGACTTCTGAGATCTTTCACATGGTCTTCAAACATTTGTAATCAATCAATAAATTCCAGTAATTTCCAGCATATTTAATTTGTACCTTTTCATCAAGAAGG